TGGAGGTGTTTGGTCGCTTCTCTGCTTGGATCCTAATCAATGAACTGGGCTAGTTAAATGCTATCAAAGTGTCTTGCACGTCAGAGTGATTGAGTGCACGCACTGATGAGAGATGGGAATAACATAGTGAAAAAAAGGTACAGTATCCCTTTAAGATCATGTGCGCCCATGCATTTGATAAAAAGCATGCATTTACTGTATGGTGAATGAAGCCAAATGGGATAATGCCAAAAGATGATAATTAATTGAGTTGAGTCTATATACGCAATATGGTTGTGAAAAAAAAAATATATATATACAGTATATGTATATACAGTATATATATATATATATATATAAGTGTCATAATATAAATTGAAATATATATATATATATATATATATATATATATACACAGTATATATAAGCCTTTGTCAAGAATCGTCAAGAATCTGGTGTAGAACTTTAACAAGTGTACACAATTTTGCCCCTTCTTATCTTTCTATGCTGACATTTAATATCACATTTTAAAGAACTACCTGGGCATCTTCATGATTGGTGTGCATGATTTGTGCATTTTAATTCTTTCTCTGTACTTCTCTTATTTTTTTTTATTTTTTTTTGGGGGGGGGGGGTGTGATGGATTTTGGGCAACAGCTTGCATTAAATGTGCTATATAAATAAAAATAAATATTTTTAAAAGTGTAATTGTTTTAGATGTCAGTAATAATAATTTGAAGTGGGATGACATTATTTGAAATGGGAAAACATATTTTTACTAAATTATATTGATCAGCTGATGTATTAAACCCTTGATTATGAACATTGAATAATGTTCATTATAATGTAATTTAAGTTTAATTTTAAAAAAATGCAGTTTTTTATTTATTTTTATTTTTGATACAGTTACCCACAACATGATAGCTAGATACAATTTGTGCATGAGTTTGATCTGATTTGACCTAAAAAGTAAGAAATGTGTACAGAAATGCTTTTAAATGTATTTAGAATTCTTTTTTATTTATCGATATTAGAACAAAAGCTGCTTTTCCACCGTTGGGCCAAACGGTTCCTAATAACCGTAAGGAACGATTCCAGTCATGTTTCCACTTGAACCTGGTTTCAGGTTCAAGTGGAGGCCATCCTCGGCCTAGAATGCGTGTAGTGACGTCACAACTCTGTTACTTGTCTGTTGCCTGGTTACCAGTTTCTCTAGTTGTGGCTCTGTAATCGAATGCTTATCAGTATAGTAGATCTGTGCCTTTGTGTCTTAAAGTGACAACAGCCTAATAAACCTGCTGCTGTCTGTTTTAATTATATTTAATGTTAATAAAACAACAAAGGAAAAAGAGAGAATCATTTACTGCTCCTCACTGTAGAACTTTAGTAACTTTAAAAATAATCAATGATATATGTAAAGTGAAGACTATACACAGGCTATATGCTATATATATATATATATATATATATATGCTATTACTGACTGTTTCAACTCACTGTTGGTTGACAATGAAACTGCTCTGAAAGAACATATTAAGGAGTTTTGGGTAATTTGCACTGCATTCACCTATAGAATGAGTAAATCTAACCTTGTTAGTGAAGTTGTGTGGTCATATACTGTATTTTCACTATCATGACTGTGCATGCTTTCACAACAGTGGTTTGGGCTTAAATTAGAACAAATGAGCAGTAGTAATATATCTATAGCTGTAGCTTTGGGGATGGGACCTCTGGACCCCATCCTAATGAGTGTACACCTTACCTCTTTGTCCTGGCCTAGTTTCCACATTTGTCTGCTTCCTGTGCTATATTCCAAGCTGTGCTTGTTCCACATGACTAATACAACCTTGCTGAAGCAGGAACTGTGAATAGATACAAAGTCGTCTCTCACTCAAAAAGTGATTCTGCGCTTTCGGAGTGCTGAAAGGGTTTGTTTTTATTTTTTACTCAAAAGGCAGCATCTCCTCAAGGTTCAGCGTGTATGAGTAAGACTCATCCTTGTCTATATCTTGATCTGAATTGAGAATAACCCCTGATAATACTACCATCAAGGGCAGAACCTTCACAAAAATAAAGCCAGGTAGAAGCTTTGCACGTAAATCCTTTGCAATGATGCAAGCGACAGGGTTGTTTCACTATGTATTGCTTAATGATATTCCATAAGAAGCATTGGAGCACTAAGAAGGCAAAGGGTACTTGCAATCAAACATCTGCATTTTGCATTCAGGATATTTACAATGCCATTAATTGTGGTCCAGAGGAACAACTTTATGGTCATACTGTAGCATGGGTGTTTGTTACTGGTATCCATATTCCCAGTAGATGATCTATTGAAACATCTCACAATGCAGAAAAACAAATCAAAACCTTTTTTTCTCATATCAAATTAACCTTTTATAGGTTCCCCACGTACTGTGGCCATTGTACATTTCACCGTGTGACTTTGCATTGATGGAGATTGTTGTTGTTATAATATGAAGGGTTTTCTGTTTGGTCTCCTGGGTCCCGCTGTGGACCGCTGTCCATTATCCATTAGATTCGCCTCCCAGAGTAAATCCTCATCCAAACAGATTTTAAATGATATCTATGCCTCCTCCGTTCCCAGAACCTGCACTCAAGGCTTTTATTCGTGAATCTGAAGGGCCTCTGGGGCAGGACGCTTTTATTTAAGTAGCCTGTGTCACTCAGAAATATAATGAAGATTTCCATTATGATTACACTGGAGGAAGCACGGCCCATAATTGAGTGTCTCAACTGCAGTTGTACACGTTTAGTTCGTCTACTCCAGTGAAGCCAGTCCAAATGTTCTAGAAAGACCGCTCCTGATTCAGTCCCTTGACTATACGTGCAGTGTCCACTAGTTGAAGATGAAGTGTAATTGGTTATGTGCTTTTCTAAAAAAATATAGAAAAGAGAGTCTTAAGACAGTGTTAAGAGACATTTGGATACGCTTTTCTTTCATTGCGATGTTTAAATTCACATAATTTAGGTTAATCCTTTGGAGATATTTGCTTTGGCAAAGGCAAGATGCTTATCTCTAAGTATAGTGGAAATTGCGTGGGAGATTGTTAAGCTGAGGATGCAGACAGACTGATTTATTCAAGTGTTAAAATGCTGAGACTGGCCATAATCCATTGAATCTACTAAAATGAGAATATACTGGATTATCCCATGCAGGGCTGTTGTTTTGCTTCCTGTTGCTGCATCTCTAATGTTTTAAACATAACCCCAGACATGCATATATATCGCGTCCGTCCGTATATTTTAATTCTTAACTGTATTTATAGCAAACCGTATATTTCACATATATTGAACCATACAATTTAAACAGATATAAAAAGGATTGGCAAATTTAATATTATTATTATTATAGAATATTATCAGATGTGAAGCACAAATTATGTAATACACTATATATATATGAAGAGTTCAGATGCAAAAGCCTCTAAGTGCCATTTGAAATTTTCTTCTAGAATGATAATTTTTATCAAGCTTGTATATTTAAGTTCAGTGATTTCACTTAAATGGCAATGATAATTACTTATTAATTGTTATTTAAGTGAAATTACTGAACTTAAATATACAAGTTTGATAAAAATCATCATTAAAGAAGAAAATTTCAAATGGCATTTAGAGGCTTTTGCATCTGAACTCTTCATATATATATAATGTAAATTAGTCCAAAACTTTAACAATTGTATTGTAAGATTACATGTTTTATCATGTTAAATCAAATATATATTAAGGTAATATATAATAATATATATTAATAAGGTAACTTAAGTCAAGATTTTGCGGTAACATTTCCTTTTACAGTCCTGTTACCCATGTACATACTATGTAATATTATTATAGTAATTACAATTACTGGGTAAAAACTAGGTACTAACCCGGAACCTACCCCTAACGCATGTAAAAAATAATCATGATTTTAACGGTAAGAGACTGGTTGGTTAAAATTGGTTAACCGAAAGTTTCCGTACTATATACGGTACTATACTCCGTACGTACTATGCAATAACTGTGATATAATTTTACTGTAAAATACAGTTAAATTTACAGTTTTTGAACAACTCAATGTATAATTTACAGTGAAAAAAAACGTTTTGTATTACATTTAATGTTGTTAAATTAATGTTTATTGCATTTTTTTTATTTCATTTGTGTTAGCATGATGTTGTTTAATGTTTGTGTGAATGACACTGTGCCGCTTTTTTATATAAGTTTTAACTTTGTAATGGAAGTCTACTTGTGATGAGCTGATTGCTTATTATTATTATTGCTTATTGATTGGTGGTGGTTGAGGAGATCCCCCCCTTCTATGTGAAGCGCTTTGAGTGTCCAGAAAAGCGCTATATAAATGTAACGAATTATTATTATTATTATTATTATTATTATGTAACTTATCGCTGCTGTGACGATTGTTGGTTGTCAGTGTATTACAATGGTACAAAACAGATTTTCAAAAGGTTGGTAAATCAATAAATAAAGTTAAGTCTGCAAAACAATAGTAAAACGTCCCTACCGTATTTTTAACGGTAGTTCTGGCAACCACAGCTGCTGTTTTTTTTTTTACCAAAATAATTATGTCTTATTTTTTACAATTAGCCGGTACTTTCCAGGTAAGGACACTGTAAGTACACATAAGTACTGTACTGTAAAAGGAAGCATTACCGATTATTTTTACATTATTTTTTGTACCTGTAAAAATGTGTAGCAGTGCTCATAAATAAGTACTTGTGCATAAGTCTGCTTAATTTGTATTTTTTTTACATTTACTATATACAGTAGGCTAGCTTATATGAAAGGTAACTGTAAATGTTAGAAAAAATCATTAAAATAATGTAGTAGGCTACAGCACAGAAGCCCATTAGAGAATGACAAATACTTCACTTCGCCTGATTATGATGATATTCCGGGCCCGTTCCCGTACAGGACAGGGCGATTGGGGCGGAGACCTGTTTGTACTGCTTTTGTGAGCCACCGGTCTGCCTCATCGCTTTCCCGATACCCATCAGGAGGCAGTATATCCTCCAGTGCAGTGTGTGTGTGTGAGTGTGTGTGTGGCGTACTGGAGCTGCGCTTTCCGTCCGCTACCTTTGTCTCTCTCACAGAGCTTCACTTTAGCAGGGCGCGCGGGGTTTAAGTTGCAGAGACGGAGGAGAACCGCTTTGAAGAAGTGGATCTGGACGGGTTTAATACACCCTCCCTCTCTAGAACTACTACAAAGGGAGTGAACGGAGAGAGTTGCGCTGCGTAAACCGACACCGACCATCGCGCCGCTCGCTCGCTCGCTCGCTCCCCTAGACGTCAAAAAAGCAAGCATGCGGGAAAACACAAGGAGCTGAGTCTTTCTTTGGGAAATGTGGATTTTGTTGGGCTCGTTTTGAACTGCTGCTTCTCTGAGACCAAGCGCTGTGTGCGTTTTCGTGCGTTTTTGGACGCGCTGACAGTCCGTGAGCGTTACGCACTGACTCGCCAGAGGTAAGTTTGACGCCTCCAATACAAATACAACTGGATTATTGCAGCGTTCTGTTATTGCAGCGTTCCGTTCTGTTATAATTTGACGTCACAACGTCACGTAATAAGTGCTTTCTGTAAATGTCGTTTATTGTTAAGAGCGATGGGGGTGGAAAGGATACTTGATACCGTCATTAAGTCAGCCCAGTCGTTCAGTCGGCGGAGCTCCAACTGTTGCCATATTGTTTTGATAAGTTTTAAACCCCACGTAAAGATGACTGTATTAAATTTTGTTGTCAGTTTGTGTCACTTTTGCGAAAACGCAGTGCGGTTTTGTTTGGATACGCATTTCAACGTAAAACAAATAAGATACGAACATCTTTATGTGCCAGATTTAAGTGAGTGAACAAACGCTGATTGTTTATTGCATATGTGATGGGATTGTATATTTAAAGCCCAACATCAGCACTTTTTTCTTAATGCAATTACTTACAACGTCCCTGCCACGTTCACAGCGCAATAAAACGCTTCTTTCTGAGGTTGATCATTATTTAGTGTCATGTTTAAGCGATTATGGTATTTTCTGGAAATTATATATAGCCCAAAAGTGATGTTGGATATTGACCACCAGCAGCTGTGACACATCTTACAGAGTGCGTTTTCCTTCGTTTCATATAGACTGGTCGACTGTAATGAAATAAGTGCGCACTGCATACTGGAGATTACAGTAATTACAGCATGAAGTGGACACTGGTGTTTTCATATGGCTGTGTGCTCATTCATGCAAGAAATGGTCAAAGAGACAGTTCAACTAAAAATAAGATATACTGTCATTATGTACTCACCTTTATGTAGCTCCAAGAACTTATGACTTTCTTTCCACTGTGGAACACAAAAAGAGACATTTTGGAGAAACTGTTTTTCCATGCATTGACAATAAAACGTGACTGAAGATTTCAAGTCTAAAACCGCCAACAAAAGTTGTACACATCCCAAATCTTCAGAAGATTTACAGAAATTTAAGTCTATTGAGCTGTTAACAGCAAGTTGATCAATTGAATTCCAGAATCAGATCAGTCTGATTTGTAAACAAATCATTTAGATCAAATTTGTGAATAGAATTGAACATTTTTCACAAGATCTGACTGCAATCAGTTATTTATTCATGAATCGGCACTGTAAAAAAAATATTTTCAAGATTTGTTATCACAACATTTTTTTCTTTTGTCAAATCAACTTAAATAATTTATTTAGTTCAGATAACTTATAATTTTAAGTTCCTGATGATTAAATAAATCTCCTTCATTGTATTAACTTTCTTTTTCCAGTTCAATCAACTTAAAATTTGAAGGCAACCAGGTTACTTAATTTAAGTTAAACCAACAATGTTTTTTTTACTGTGTAGGCAGTTCGTTTCCTTGTGTACTGAATTCATCAATAAACATGAGGATGAATGTGAGGACTTCATTTTTTGTGTGTTTGTCTCACAAACCTATTGTTTTGATGACTTTTATGATACTTTTGTTGTTACCCTTATTTATCATTTATTTCTTCTGCATGGAAAATATCAATCAGGGGGTTTGGATTGATGGTGAGTGAATGATTACTGAATATTCTTATTGTTGTTGGGTGAACAATACCTTTTCATTTATTTGTCAGGGAGAAGTTTATTTGTCATGAGGTTCAAATGATCGTGTCTTAAAGGGTTAGTTCACCCAAAAATGAAAATTCTGTCAGTATTTACTCACCCTCATGTTGTTCCAAACCTCTGTGTGTTTATTTGTTCTGCTGAACACAAAGGAAGATATTCCTACTATGGTAGTCAATGGGGAATGAGATCTGTTTGATTAAAACGTTCTTCCAAATATCTTCCTTTGTGTACAGCAGAACAAATAAACACACAGAGGTTTGGAACAACATGAGGGTGAGTAAATACTGACAGAATTTTCATTTTTGGGTGAACTAACCCTTTAAAGGGATAGTCACCCTCATGTTGTTCCAAACCAAACTTGTATGACATTTTTACCTGCAAAACACAAACAAAAGATATTTTGAAGAATGTTGGTAACCAAACAGTTTTGACCAAAACGTCATACGAGTTTGTTATGAGGGTGAGTAAATTATCGAATTTGAATTTTTTTGGGTGGACCCTCCCAAAAATTTAAATGACAAAAAGTGTATAGGTTGAGAGCAATGGATGTCAATGGGATTTTATAAATTGTGAAATAATGAGGTCAGTGTGTATCATCACATCCTAGAACAATTGATCGTTTATTACAATGGTTCTTCATACAAAGCCTGTAAGCGTAGAGGATACTGGAAGCCTCGAACAAAGCTCTTTATTATTGAGACGTAGGGCTGTCATACGCTCTCGTCATTGTCTGTTAATGAACAGTGGAAGGAGAGGAGAGGAGAGCAGTAACTGTATAAATGTGCTCCATTCATGTTTGTTCCCAGCCTGTCCTGGACAGTGTTCCCGCATTAAATGCAACTGGCAGGGAATAGCTTGCTGGGGGCCCATACACTATCAGCCCAGATGTTCCTCAAACCCATTGAGAGTCAAATTGGGCTCCTGGAGGGAAGATCTTCTCATTGTTGTGTCACAATAGCCTCGCATCCTTCCTTAGTCAATAGTACCTAAAACTGAATCACACACACACACATTGACATGAGGGATTCACAAGGACAGCAAAAGCTATTAGTATTCGGATCATCCAGTCTAGAATCTCTACAATTCACACTTTGATCTCCGACTATTTAAAGACAGCTCAGTTAATGTAAAAAAAGTTCTTCATGTAATAACATCTAAATTAGCCGGTTTGATCCAGTTCAAAGAAACTATTTCTAATGACTGAATAATAGCGGGTTCTCCCATGTAAGAATTTTAAAGCCTCAGATCAGGTAAAAATCTCTAGTCTTTTTTTTTTTTTTCCTTTTTAGCTACATGTTCACATTTACACGGCGTTTTCTTTCAAAAAATAAGTGCTATCCTTGAGCTAAAAAAGCTGTTTGACTCTCTTTAAACCACAATTTGACCTTTTATGCAACTGTATAGATGCATTCATGGTAAAAATGCCAGGAATAAACCATCCACATTAATTGGATCATCACGAACACGGTCACAACTCTCAGTTGAAGTGCATCAAAATCGCATTATAATGTCAACAACATTCGGATTGCACAGAGCCATCACGAGTACCTGAATGGAATTCAAAAGCCTCTTTTCTAAGTCGTCTCGAGCGCTTGCTATCTGCCCCTGCAGGAACTCGTATCACATGAATGAATTATTGGATTACATCAGTGGCATCATGCAGCAAATGTTCTGGCCTTGGGTCTTGTTATAATAGCGTGGTTTTGCGGACACTGTCGTTCAATTAGCGCATGCAGCGCACCGTCATAACCAACGTGACTGTGTCCGTAAACCACCTCTACGCCGAATGAATAGAAATCAATTGGCAACCGTGACGCCTTCAGTCCTCTGGCTTAATGTGAAGCCTGTAGAAGGGTCATGTGTGGTGGCCGTGCCTATTGACGGCGACCCCTTCGACGTTACTCTCTATCAGTGCGCGCTCCTATATGCCATTTCCTCTCTGCCTCTAGTTAGTCTCTCTGTTTTCTGGCCTTCACCTGCAATGGGAGTCTCAGGAGTGATGTGGAAAAGTGGAGCGAGGTCATGCAGCCAAGGCAAGTCCGTGATCCTGAGTGGACGCAGGCGGATGGTGAGACGGGGGAGTGAAAACAGCAGGGGCTGGTGATGGACATCGGTGATGTTTAGATAAGAGGATGTGGAAGAGTGTTTTAAGAGCAGCACTGCAAATATAGAAGAAATTGCGTGTGTTTGGAAGGGCCGCTTGTGTCCATTTGTGTTAAAGGTGGTGCTTTTTTCCACCATCCCCCAGTGTGTTTACACATATTGAAATGGTGTGTGTGTGTGTGTGTGCGCAGCTGTGGGCCAGAGGTGGAGAAACACATCCGCACGGAGCTGCGCCGATATGTGATACAGGATTGACTGTTTTAGAAAAGACAAGTTTCGATAGACAAACATTTGTCATCATTGTGTCATTCTTAACCGCTGAAACTTTCTTCTGCAAGCCGCACTGTAAAAAAAAAAATATTGTTGGTTTAACTTAAAAAATGAAGTAACCTGGTTGCCTTAAAATTTTAAGTTGATTGAACTGGAAAAAGTGAGTTAATACAATGAAGGAGATTGATTTAATCATCAGAAACTCAAAATAGTAAGTTATCTGAACTGAATAAATTATTTAAGTTGATTTGACAAAAGAAAAAAATGTTGTGAGAACAAATCTTGAAAATATTTTTTTTTTACAGTATTATTCGTTTTCGGCAGCGTTCCTTCGCCTCGTTTTTCCTTCTTCCGCCCAGGGGCTCGTTTTCCTGGTGTTGAGATGGATCCATCAGGCCAGTTTTGCGTGTCTTTTATGAGCTGCATATGGAGGCCGCGCAGAGGGGAAAGGTGGAGAGCGTAGGCCCTCTCGTTTGCTTGCAAATGACCAGTATCGACCATCTGCTATTTTAGTGTCCTTCCCCACAGGCTCTTCTAGTGATTTTTTCAAGCTGTGCATTTGTTGTATGTGTATGAGAGGGACTGTATGCGTTTTGTGTTTGCTGGGCTTTTCTTTCAATCCATCCTAAAATTATAGTCGTGTTTTTGTTTTTCGCCATTCAAAGCCTGGCAGCCACAGGTAGGAGCTGAACTGCATTAAACGACCGGTCAATGGTTTCCTTTAGTGTGAGCCAGTTCCAAATGTCCTTTTGGAAATTGTGTTTACAGAAATGTTATTTAGAGGCGCAATCACATGTCTGTGCTTTCGCTTTGAGCAAGTGCAGCTTTTCTCCTCCCTCGCCGCTCGTTTCTGTCTCTCCCTCTCTTCTACTCGTGCGTTCCTAACAGATGTTTGCCCTAATGCATCTCGGGCTCAGGTTGTTTACTGAGCTTACATCTGGTTTGGGTGCTCCATATCCCCCTTTGCCTGGAATTAATGGTTGTTTTTTTTCTCCCCAAA